ATCTAAGTCTGATTCTGAAGGTAAATTAAATATCTGACAGTGATCATTACACAACATGGCTGTAATTCTTCACCTCACCATCTGTGTCGCAGTTTCCCATCTCCAAAATGAGCGTACGCATGGGTCAAAGCTGGCGTGAGGCACCGCACATTTTCACGTCAAGTTTGGATTTTATAAATCACAACCTTGGCGTGAAAAGTGGCGTACGCAAGTTTCTGGGCTCAAATTGTGCGTACGCCAGTTTTATAAATCCGACCCCTGATCTGTCCTGATCTGTCCCCTCCTCTGTCCTGATGAAGTCAGCAGGGTACAAGCTGACAGAGCTCGGCTTTAAAGTGTCTGTGATGTATATTCTTCAAATACAGAAAGTCAAAGAAAACAACTTTCTATTTAAGAAACTTTGCATAATACACGTGATTTTACTCATTTTCTCACATAAATTGCATATTTTCTTTTTATCTTGGCTCAGCTGAAGTGAAACAGGAAGTGACATCAAAGGGGAACTCTTTAAGAAAGACAACTCTGGTCTTTATTGAAACAATATTTAAACTTTAAATGTTCTTCGTCTCTCTGATTGAGACTCAAAATAGTTAAAGAAACATCAGATTCTTCTCTACAGTCTGTGTTAGTTATTGTAGCAAAGCTCTGTTTTACATGCAGACATTCCCCTTTGACATCACTTCCTGTTTCTTCACATGCAAMTATCTCAACAACTGTTCATCTCAGCAGTGTGAAATTAGTTTTGCAATATGTTATTAATGTTATCTTTCCAAAAATGTGTTCATATTTATTAGGAAAATTTGATGTGACAGGCACTTTAAAGGCAGAAGAAAGTGTGGTTGTGTTTCTGACACCAGATAAATGTGGGACTGATCCTTTAATCTGCTGATTCTCCAGATGGGAGCCTGTTTCTCTAAAGTCTTTAATGGCTGCCCTCTAACAATCCACTGTGCTGTCACCTGGATTTTACCCAAAACAAGAGGTRAGGAGGCAGCTGTTAGTACTGCTGAGGTTGGTTTTGGTTTAGTTAAAGCAGAAGACTGAGTTGAAGTAAAATAAACACATAATATGTTCTACGATGGAATCCTCCCTTTAACAAAGACTTTTCCTCTTTAGATCAGTATCTTCTTCTTGGAGCAGATGAGGGCATCTACAGTCTGAACCTGAATGAGCTTCATGAAGACACACTGGAGAAGGTACTCCTGCTTCACACATGTCTGCTGCAGCTGGTCCGCTCTGATGCTTAGAGGGGTTAGAGCATTTCCACCTGACAGCTAGTCCTGCCCTGCAGCCACGCCCCACAGAGGCCTGGAGGCACTGATAATCTCATTTATTTCATGGTGTCATGGTCAGCAGAGGGCTCTCATTATCAGAAATCAGAAGAAGACAAAGAGAACTTTTAACATGGTTAAATTCAAACTATAAAAGGCTTCATTTTATTTAAACTGATCCATGTTTTGTTTAAAATTAATTCATTAAATAAATCTAGCCCCACCCCTTACACACACAC